AAAATTCTTTGAAGCTGCTGAACTAAATTCCTTTTCGACTTACCTGACGAATGACGACGTCAAACATCCTCCGGATATGGCAGCACCGTGCTCTGGCACTGCAGGGGAAAGATCTATCGCAGCCAGATATTCGCTAGCGTCAGCTATATCTTTATCCAGCGTCTTGTGGCTGGCCTTCCGCTTTCTTCTTCTTCTTCTTCTTCTTTTTCTTCTTCCATTCCCCTTCGCGTTCCTGCGCTGGGATTTCGACGTGTCCGCTGTTGCACAGGCATCACGCGTTGCGGGGGACGTTCCAGGTGACGGCATGTCAGGCGGTGGCGCTTTTCCCGCTTCCTTCCTTTGTCGAAGTTGTGGACACTGGTACAAGGGGATTTCGTCCGGAGGCGTGTATCCAGTGCGTACACGCCTGGCCTTTCGCCAAGTTCCATCCGGACGAAGAGTCGGGGGTATAAGTGTTTCGCCGTTTTCGGTCTGGACTCTATTCTCGACAACGCTCATCTCGCCGGCGACACGGTGACAGAACTGCAGCGAAGTGGTATACCGGTAAAGCTATACAGGTGATTCGTCTGATCTACCGAGAACGTCTCAATGAAATACGTTGTGGCAGAGATGTACCTTTCAAGCAGAATGTTTCAAAAATTGGGTTCATAACTTTTGCTTGGTCCTTCCGCTGTGTCCACTTCTAACTGCTGGTGCGAGTGAGGGCACAGCGCTTATACTCATCGGGTGTTGTCGATCTATCTCAACTGCTCGAGCTAGCTAGCCACTGGCATGACATTGTTGTACGGCTACCTGTATCCAACAGTGCAGTGTGAACCCACTGGTATGAGTACTAGTAGCGTCGACTGTCGTTGTGAAGCCCACGAAGTGTCTGTAGTCCAGATCTACTTGACCTTCGGAGCTGGAGCAGTAGAGGTGTGTGTAGGCTGTGGTTTGCGTGGCGGGGTGTAGATCTACTACCGTTTACGGTGTAGTGTAGTGCTGGTGCGGAGAGTCGTCAGGTGATCATGTACACGTCACCAAGGCTCCGAAGAAGTGTAAACATAATTATTACAATTATTTTAAAATTATGTGGCCACCTCCACCCACCACCACCAACACGCGTTACGTAGTCTGCGTAGAGTCTACGGTACAGATCAGGACATGTACGGTGCAGTATAACAATTTTACTTCCCATCTGGCCATTTCATTTGACTGGATAACCCGATCGATAACTAGCAGCTGCTACTGTCTTTATACCTAGCATACGGGTAGGTCTTTTGGCTTTGTTGCACTTTGGGCCGCACAACTTTCGAGGAAATGTACGATGTTCAACAAAAGCTACGCATTTCATAAAATGTGTACGGTAATTGCCTCTCGTATTCTTTGGATTGGTCTAGACGTCTGTACGACTTTCCTTTGTCGTTATCCCGCGGCCCGTGATTTTGAGAAAATCGCACTTGAAGTGACGTGAATCAGCTGATTTCCGGCTGTCACGTTCGGGTCGAACTTGAAACTGTGCGTTTTTCTGTGATGCGTGATTTCTTTGGAGCAAAATAACTCTGTGGATAGGGGATCCCCCCTCCGGAGCCAGCATCCCACAGGCTACTGCTCCTGTGTAGAAGAAAACCCTGTCTAAATCAGGGAGTAGTGGACTACTCCCTGGTCTAAATCGACCCACGTAGACCACGTCTACCACGCATTGGCGATCAAAATCCGGCGATCGATCGACCACGCGACCTCCGGATCCGCTACTCACCATGAGGTACCGTAAACGTTTCACCGTCAACGAAGCGCTGAAATCTCTCCTGGCCTGGGAGAAGATGAGGCTGAATTTTTCGGCGAGGAAGAGAATGCCATTGTTTATTGAAATCAATCTGACGACGGGAACGATGACGAGGGGGACGCAGCAGCAAAACTGTGGGTTGTAACGACTGCACCCAAACCTTCCCAGGGTGCCTAGTAGTAGTACCTCCGAAGCTGCGGAGCATGAAGCAGCATAGGGGTTGAAAACCCGTATATCAAACATTGTGCATTCGAACCGGCCACCCCAAAGCCCACTGGCAGCGATGTCGAGGCGAGCATTGTCCTCTAAGGACGCAGACCGAAGGCTGAACTGCTCGCCAGAGGGCGGTTGCAGTGGAGGTAAGAGGTTCCACGGATACCGAACGTCGAAGCGCGCGTTGCCACAAATGCAGGATGACGGCAAACGCTCCGGCACCCAGCCATAGCGCAAACACAGAGCATCTCTTTAATATAATTATAGACTACAACATCAGATTTCGAGAGGCGAAAGCCATGGCAGGAAGAGGTCGTGACGTCAGCCAAGCAGAGCTACCACGCTCGGAAGCAAGCTCAAGCTGAGCCGCATGTACCGCGCCTTCACCACTCACAAACCTCTCCTGCAGCTGTTGCTGTGATGCCCGAGCTGCAGTGCGGACTTGACGTTTGGCGGTGTTGGTAGCGTCTGCCACACCAGCTAGCGAGGGATCTGCCTTAATTAATCCTTTCCCTGAGCTCATTAGTGACAGCTCGGGAGTGGGCATAGTGGCGAAATTGGGACTCTGAGATCGGAATCGAGAAACCCAAACCGCCATCCCGACAAGCGAACGAGAGCACAAGCCGCTCCACACTGGACGGAGGGAGGCGAGCAGTGAGGGCTGGGATGAGGCGCTCCCTGATGACAGCTTCCAGACCACCAAACTCCTCAGATGACATCTCCAACGTCCGCGACAAGAAGGACCACTTGCCTTGTAGACCATGGACAAATGCGGAATAGGCGGCCTGGGGTTGTGTCTGGGCAAAAATCGGATAACCGAGACACCTGACGTGTCCAGTCGGTGACCTTTGACTCTACGAAACTGCTGACAGACTCTGGGGTGCCATGCATGCATGGGAGGAAGGCTAGAACACAAAGCAGGGGAAGGAGACAAACAGTACGTTGCCGCGGAAAGAGAGAGTCCGACAAGGAACAAGAGAGAGAGAGTTTGCGTGTGTATGTGAGGTGATGTGAAAGATGGAGAGACAGACAGAGAAAATGGTGGACGGACAGACAGATAAACAGAAAGAGATACAGAGATGGACTGATAGATAGATGGATGGAGAGAGAGACAGACAGACAGACAGACAGACAGACATACAGACAGACAGACAGACAGACAGACAGACAGACAGACAGACAGACAGACAGACAGACAGACCGTAGACAGACAGAGAGAGAGAGACAGAGAGAGAGAGACACACACACACACACAGAGAGAGAGAGAGAGAGAGAGAGAGAGAGAGAGAGAGAGAGAGAGAGAGAGAGAGAGAGAGAGAGAGAGAGAGAGAGAGAGAGAGAGAGAGAGAGAGAGAGAGAGAGAGGGAGGGAGGGAGGGAGGGAGGGAGGGAGGGAGGGAGGGACAGAGACAGAGACAGAGACAGAGACAGAGACAGAGAGACAGAGAGAGAGACACAGAGAGAGACAGAGAGAGAGAGACAGAGAGAGAGAGACAGAGAGAGAGACAGAAAGAGAGACAGAGAGAGAGACAGAGAGAGAGAGAGACAGAGAGAGAGAAGCAGACAGAGACAGACAGAGTACAGTGACAGGCTGGTACGGGTAAGCAGAAAGACAGGCAGCCAGCCTGGGAGACAGAGAGATCATGCTAGGGCGCGGGGAGTACTGGTGGTGGTGGTGAGAAGTAGAGCTCTGTGCCAGAGTAACTTTGCAGCTTAGGGAAGTTAGGCTCGGTCACACATGCACTCGAAAGTAGCGGATCTGCTGAAGCGACGTTGCGGGAGCGAGAAATACCATGGCAATGGCGAAAAGCAGAACTTCCGCTTCAGCGGAAACTCCAATCCGCTTCCTCCAAAAATTTCGAAGCGAGACTGTCGCTTCTGCGGTTTTGCTTCAGCGTAAAACACCACGGTCTGCTGTATATGGACTTGCTACGAGCAATTTGTATGCGTATGATGTCCATGCAACAAAAATGCGTGCAAGATAGTCATTGACCTCGTCTATTCTCCGTATACCGTATGCATCACAGTCCACTTTTAAATTACTCTCATTTTCTGCCAAAGGAAGAGTTTACCCTGTTTGTATGTGTGACCATACAGACGTGGTTTCGCTGGAGCGACACCATGCTCGCTATCGCAAAACCTCAACGCCGAAGCAAACCCCAGTTAGGCCCAGACAGATTCTGCTCCCCTCGCCTCGATATTTGCCGCAAAATGTTGCCGTGTGTGAAATCTTCGATATTTTGCCGAGCCTGGCACAAGAAACTCGATATTTTGCTCCATTTTGCTCCGGAAAAACGTGTATTTTATCCACTTCCCGTACAATCCCGTACAAAGTTTCATAAAAATCGCAGGGTCGGTTTTTCAACACGGGTTTCCACGCACGTATGTCCCTGAGTTCTTCCAAAATCATGTCGATCCATAGTGAATCCCAGTGATATTTCGGTGACATTATCTCGTCCTGGGCAGTGTGTATCCTGCTGAACGGGTAAGAAACAAGGAAATCCAAGTATCATGCATCGATTTTGCCGGCAATTTCCGCTCTTTCAATTCTTCGATATTTTGCCGGCAGGATCTGCCTGGGCCTAACCCCAGTGCATGTGTGACCGGGCCCTTACTTAGAGAGCGTGTGCGGGCAGGCGTGTTTTTTCCCGCCATATTGCCAGGTGTGCGTTTACTATTTTACCACCATTACATATGAACTAACATACTTCAGTAAATTTTTTGGTGAATCCGAGTAATACACACAACACAGAGCACCACGCATCATTTGTTACCTATAATAATTATTATGTCTCATTTCCTGCTTTGACCCTGAAGTATTAATTTTATCAGATCGCTCAAAGGTAAGGGGCGCCTCACCTCTCGGAAACGACATAATTCTAAGCACTCGGCTCTGCTTTAACCCTATGACATGGTAGGCTGGCCGTGGATACTGAGCAGCACATGAGACAACACGCATGCACGGATCTCCACTGTCTCTATAAACAAGACGACACTTCAAACACAGTCTTCAAACACAGTGGTGATGATGCGATTCATTTTTGTTCAGAAAATATTTCATCCCGGGGGAATTTTGTCAAGATCCAAAAATAATCATGGTTGTAAACAGAGTCATAGCCATAGAGGAGGCCAATATATGCCTGTGAGTGGTCCGGGGAAAAAATAGCACTGTGTACATGTTCCAAGCAGTGTCATGTGTAACAGAGTTGAGCCTAGTAGAGGTGCTGAACACAATACCACCCACACGTAAGTGACCCGGCAAGGCTTGTCGCAGCGATACGACTGTCTCAACGTAAGTGCGTACCGTGAACAGCCGGGGATGCGCCTGGCACGCTCTCTCTCTCTCTCCCTCTCTAGTCTAGCATGGGAAAAATATAAAATTAATATAATACAATGCTAAGATATAAGCATTAGACCCGTGGCAACTATATGCCGGGGCTTGGGTGATGATAAGCGGAGCGCTACACAGCACACAGATGAGCAGCAGCAGCCCTTTCAGTCATGGCGCTACACACAATACCAGTAGACTCACTGGTTCATCGCTGGGTGGACATGCTGCCGAATGCTATGCTCATGGTCCGCACTGACCGATGCTCACCGACACTCGTTGCGACCAGGCAAACACATTTCAACATTGCTACCTATGCAGAGCCAGCAGAGCTACGGCGTGCTGAAATGCTGCTGCAGCACCCATAGCCACCAGTACAGCATGCATGCAGGGTGCGCTGGTGTCCACGGTACGCGGGACGGCTTACACTGACGTTGCAGTGAACGTTGTCGGAGCGCTGGCCATGCCGGTGGTGACATTACCAAGCGTGTAGTTGCCATCGGTGGCGCAGTACGGCCAGTCCAGGTTGTCTTCCGTCACGCCCTTAGACGCCTCGATGATGGCCACCACCGTTCCCAGGACGGTCAACACCGTGCCAAAGATCAGGCAGATGCAGGCCTTGATGCGTTTGAAGTTGAACGACTGGCCCTTGGTGGCACGCAGATAGCAGGCCGGAGGAAACACAAAGGCTACAGCATCGGGGAGACGAGAAACGCACACAGACAATAAGGTCATGCCCGTAGCACTAAGCTAAACAAGCGCCTTGCAACAACAGCGGCAGAAGCGGCGGCGCCGACGGCAACAATAGCACTACTCTCTTTGAATACACGAAAACCTATCAAGGTGACCACTCGGATAGGGCGACCACCTGCCCTAGTAGAAGACCACTGAAACCAGGTTCAAGGCATGCTGATTCCAGTCAGATGACCCTGGATAAGGAGACCACCCGGTAACAGAGACCACGTCTCAAAGGTCCCTTGAGCGGTCGTCTTAGACAGGTTCCACTGTCGTTACTTAACTCCTGGACTGGTGTCTACAGTCGATGATACAAACATGTACAGTGCTACTCAATGAAATCCAGTCGTGAGAGTCAAGTTGGCGCCGTGCACCTCCTTTTCGCAGCCCAGTGTTGGCAGGTCTAGGGGCTGCGCAACGGCCAGCGCGTACTCGAGAAACTCGACTGGATTTCATGACATCGAGAAGTACTGTACATGTACAGCCTACGGTGTGTTTCCAAAGTAGAATGCAGGGGCGTCGGACACGCTACGGTCACTATGGTATTGATCGTACCACTGTTTGTCCCGGGTACCCCGTCAATCAATCAAATACACTGATCAGGTACCCCGTCAATCAATCAAATACACTGATCTGGGCTCGAAATTAAATTTAAAAAAAGCCGGCAAAGGCGCCATCCCAACCCCATGAGTAAATTGTACAGGTGGCTGACCGTGCCACCCTAAAATACCTTTCGACACCCCTGTAATACCTCTGGTCTCAAGAACCGTTAGGCCAGCATCAAGAGTACATAAACCAGAGTGTGCAGCTCTGCTAGAATTATCCCCTGGCGAAGTTTTCTGTTTAGGTTATAGTGACTACCCTTTGCTGCATCTCACACCGGTTTAATATGGCCATTTTACCGTATCACCAAGGTTATTTCGGTTGCGCATTGCAGCCTGTCGTGCAAAAGGTGAAAAGCTCATGCGTATGTCCTGTTATCACCTTAGTGATACGGTCATTTAGCACTGAACCGAAAGCATGATCAGATTTCTATGATTCATGATGACCTAAACAAAAAACTTCGCCATTGGATCGGTTTTTTTGCAGCACAGATGCGGATCTGCACACTCTGGCTCATGTACTCTTGCTAGCATCTATACGGCATAAACATCTGTGACCACGTTGTGCATAAAATTTCCGAATAATTGGGCGTTTGCTATTCGATAAAGCATGCATGCGTTGCACTCCACCGTTGGGCGGGACAGCTAGAGGCCGGCATGTTGAAGCGCCAATTGTAATTGCACGTTGCACATGTGTTGTATTGTCTCCTCGGATACCACTACTCCACGGAGTTAACCATGGACCCATGGGCGGATGTCCGCAAACCCCTCCTAAATTTCGCAAATGTACATGTACGACTGGAAACCATATGCATGTGTATGAACATGTATCAGCTATTCCGTTTTGGCTAAACTGGACCCCCCCTGTAGAGGTCTCTGAATCCGCCGCTGGGGACCTATACGGCTACAGTAGGAAACACTGTGTGTCGCTTACCTAGCGGTGTACCGAAGAGCGCTCCCTGCAGAAACCAAGCACAAGTGAACAGAACAGCAAACATTCTCCGTCGTGTGTTGTGCTGTACCATGGAACTTCAGTATCAAACATCCCGGAACAAAACGTTTCCTTGGAGACCAAAAATGGCAGAACGCTTAGAAGGAGGCCACACTTCAGGTTCTTCAACAGCAATATTCTGATATATTATAGGCACTACTTTAAGTATGTCACATGGCTTCCTAACCAAGAGCACCTGTAAGTACAGTGTTGCTCAATGAAATCCAGTCGAGTCACTCAAGTACGCGCCGGGCGTTGTGCAGCCCTAGACCTGCGAACACTGGGCTGCAAAATGGTGCAAGGCGCAGACTTAAGTGACGCGACTGGGTTTCATTGAGCAGGACTGTAGCAAATGTAGCAGTGTACGTTCACAAGCAGCAGCGGTTCTAATCTTATAATCTGCTTACGGAGAACTCCAGCACCACATCCAGCTTGCTGACAGGAATGCCGATCCCCAGGATAACTACACCCACAGCAAGAGTGCTGGTGACGTGGAAGGGCAGCGACTCTGCCTTGGAGCCAATCCTGTTGTACCAGGAATAGCCAATGGCCAACACCTACGTGCAAACACACGCGCATGCGCACGCACAAACACACAGACGCGCGTGCGCACACACACACGCGCACAGAGTTTCCACTTTGAAGGACGAACGCGATGGAAAACGAATGCGCATAACTAAAATGCTCAGGAACTTACCAAAAGCCATGGGGTCAGCAGTACAGAGGTTGTGCAGGTAGCTGCACACTCTTGGGGTTATGTACTCTTGATTCTACTCATTGCGAGGGCAATTGAACTCTGTCAACCTGTTGCATGGTCATACACTACAGCAGGTTTCGGAAACAATAAGAATCAGTCGCCCCTCTTGCCGGAAATGGCTGAAAATAGAGTGGCTGCCGGAAGTTGGCCCACCGGCGTTGAATCACGCAAGACGTAGATTGCAAACTCAGTACCATGACTGGCTCGCTGAAGAGTAGGGGTGAAAGTTGGCACTGAGATCCCGAGTTCGAGTACTCTGATTTTCTACGATCGAATATTCAAGTGGTTGGTGGGTCATTTGGGCTCTCTCTACTCGTGAACAAATGTTCACCACACAGTCTGCACATCAATATCTGCCGACCGCTGCTCTGAAACTGCAGATTTCTGTGGTAAATGAATGTGCCATGTATGAACGAGTACTCTGATTCATTCCGAGTACGATTATTTTGGAAAAAACCAAGCGAGTATTCGGTATAATTGTTTCACCCCTACTGAAGAGTATACTACAAACTGAGTACCGTGACTGGCTTCAACACTGGCTTACCTCTCTGCACACAAACATTTCTATGGGGAAGGTGAACATCACTACGAACGCATAGCCCACTCTCGCCACATTCACCAGCGTGTCACCGATGCAGTAATTTTGCAGAAGGTCACCTGCACAGAACAAAAAAAAACAACAAGAAAAGAAGAAAAACGCACACACTTGGACACAGGTGCACTCCTGTACCGAACGCCAGAAGGATTATCATTTCTTTCCGCATTCTTCAGTTACTGTAAAACGGGTAACGTTTGCGACAATAAATGTTTGCGTTTTACAAATTGAGACTGGTTTGCGCTGTTTAATGTTTGCGATTGAATACATATGTACGGCATACATGTACGACACAGTTGAGTCAGTCCTTGCACTGGACTTTACATGGCGTGAGTTTGCGTTATTCAAAGTTTGCGATTCGGGGCCTCTCGCAAAATTCGCAAACAGTTTTACGTCGCAATAGTTACCCGTTTTACAGTATCTCGCTTGGCTCACCAAGCTGCGTAAAAGAGCAGTTTACGTGGTACTGGGGCAGTACTGAAAGCCAGGACCGAGCGGTTCGAATCGTCCGTGGCGGAAATTTGTATTGTACCGTATGTCAGCGCCTTTAAAGCCATGGCCTTATATTCGAAACACCGCTGCTTTCCTAGATATTTTAGATGCAAAATGACTCACCCACTACACCATGCCATAAAAAGTCAAAGTCGACACAGAAATTTCAATCTAAATCTACTTGTTCGCCCTTCCTGCTGCCGGGCTGTAAGTTTGTTAGCACAGTACTTATTCCTTCATTTTTGCAAAATATACTTCAAATGCCATTTCATTTATGAAGCCCATGGCTTCGTAACTGAGACTGGCTTTATAATCGAAAATAACGCCATGGCTTTATAAACGATTACACCTCACTCCATATACACCCACACTCATATACCAGATCTCCCATGAAGTTTATAAATTTCCATATACACTGTTCAATATACACCACTAAGGAGGTATATACACCACTCAGGAAAACCATCATAAAAAACCCACTGAGGAGCTTTCTTTCTCTAAAAAGGCGTGTATATAGCTTTCTTTCTCTAAAGCTATATTCACTCCTTTTTAGGGAAAGAAAGCTATATTCACTCCTTTTTGCTCTTGAGCTTGCGCATGGAGAGGTATACATATATTATAACAAGGGACCTCGTGTATATCGAGGAATATCGACCAGTTATAAAAACCTCGGCTTCGCCTCGGTTTTTATACTGGTCTATATTTCTCGATATATTGACCTTTGATAAATACCCACACTCATTAGTGACCACACCATCAACAGTATCAAATTCAAATAAATTTGCTTGACTCAATAAATACCACTGCACTTTTCCATGCAGCACTGCACTTTTCCCTGAAAAGGAGTATTTTATAAACAGTATTTATTGGCCTAGTGGTATTTTATAAACAGTATTTATTGGCTTTTGGGCCAATAAATACTGTTTATAAAATACTCCTTTTTAGAGAAAGTGAAGGTCAATATGTATAATAAATGTAGTAGCCTCAGGATTTATTATACATATACACTCGGTCCCTTGTTATAATATACATATAACGCCATGGCTTTAAAGGTGCGGCGGACATACGGTAAGCGCCCGCTTTGCAATTGCCTACCATATAAATTTTGCAGTTGCAGCAGCAACGAGGACTGGGGGAATACATACCTGTACATCATAGTGTTACTCTGAGCTCAACTGATGGGACCCTTTACAAGGTCGGGAAAGCTAGCTGCCCGGAGAGTGAGCACATTACATTCGTATATAAAATCACCGACCGGCGCATCAATTCATTGCACCCGGAGATGAATCCGGCGAATACAATGAATACGAGCACACATGCTGATGATTGCAAAAACACGAGTCCATGCTACTGAAATGTACACGTTGTACAGGCGGTGATACAGCTACAAGAGTAGCTTCTCCTTCTCACCTCTGATACTGGTGCGGAAGGTGATGTAGCCGCCCAGTGCCAGAATGAAGGCCACGACGGCGGCAGCAGCCACCGAGACGTGCACGACTCGGCCGTATTTCTGCATCGACGGTGCCTCCAGGGAGCTGTAGATCAGGAAGGTATTGTGGTGACACATGTAGGCTGCGTGCACAGACACACAGACACACAGGCACACAGGCACATACACGCACACACACACGCACACACACACACACACACACACACACACACACACACACACACACACACACACACACACACCTCCTCAGACATGCCCATCGCGGAAGCGATGATAGCGAACATAGCAACTTGTGCTGGGATTACACCATTCAACAGCTTGCAAGGCTGATGAATTGACCGCCACTATTTTACACACACACACACACACGCACACACAGTTCAACGGGAATCAGACAGGAACATTCCCAAAACCCACCACACTACAAGCACAAGCAATCTCCGCGCAGCTCCAAATAATGCAAATAGCACATACAGAATTCTGCTGATAATAACAGATGTTAGAGGTGCATTCCTGCATTACGCTCACCATTATATACATCACTGAACAAACATGCACCGCAAAGCACAGCTGTACAAAGAAAAAGGATAACGATCTGAAGCAAAGCTGACATGTGGAACGGATCGCTTTACAAACAAACAAAAGCCAGTGAAGGCCAGGCCATGCACTTACCAAAGGTCATGATGGATAGCGACTGTGTATGGGCGTGATACAAGGGAACAGGCACAGAAAAAAGTGACACAAACCCAAATTCAGAGCTACCCACGCATAGCCATTGACAGTAATAATTTATTTATACTTCGAAGTACAGTCAGACCTCGCTTATCCGGTCCTCTTTTATCCGGATCCCTCGCCATCTGGAAGAAAATTGTTGGTTACCGATTTACAGCATATGCCATGCATACATCCAGTATGTGTGTTCGATTATCCGGTTCCCTCGCCGATCCGGATATTTTTTTGATTCTGAACTTGTCCCCTTGGATTTTTGAAAGTACGTAGCCATTTCAACGCTTGGTAATCGCAACGAATCTGAAACTGTGCGTGCAAAAGGTAGACTCGAAAATGTTCAGTCGCCCATACTACTGCGAGAAGTTCTTTCGAGTTGTACTGTAGTTTCGTTCCGGGTCCGATAAACTACGACTAGCAAAAGCAATTGGTCGTTCTACACCATCGTCATCAAGCTGTGAAAGAACTGCGCCAAGTCCGGAACCATGGAATATCTCACCATGGGGGTCGCCGCCGGAATTTAACGACTGGGTGCGGCAAGCACCGTCGCCGCCGTCGCCGCGGACGCCCGTGCTTCCGTCTGAACCACCGACGCCCGGAATAATCAGGCCGGCACGCCTGGACGCCGCGCGTCGCCAAATTATCATCCCACCGCGCCCTCCACAAGCAGAGGAATTAATAACGGCCATTCGCCATCGACTGAACATCCGAACATACCGACCACCGCGACGACACCAAATGCCCAATCTCCGACGACCACGCCCGTCTGAACCACCGACGCCCGGAATAATCAGGCCGGCACGCCTGGACGCCGCGCGTCGCCAAATTATCATCCCACCGCGCCCTCCATAAGCAGAGGAATTAATAACAGCCATTCGCCATCGACTGAACATCCGAACATACCGACCACCGCGACGACACCAAACGCCCAATCTCCGACGACCACGCCCGCAACCTCGACAACGACCACGCCCGCAGCCTCGACAACGACCACGAACGATACGCCCGACGAGACACCGATACTTTGACGCCGGCGTTCTGCCACCGCACCGACTTACTATGCCGACCATGCCCCACCACGCGCCGTACCGTCACTGGACACGCCCGTGCTTCCGTCTGAACCACCGACGCCCGGAATAATCAGGCCGGCACGCCTGGACGCCGCGCGTCGCCAAATTATCATCCCACCGCGCCCTCCATAAGCAGAGGAATTAATAACGGCCATTCGCCATCGACTGAACATCCGAACTTACCGACCACCGCGACGACACCAAATGCCCAATCTCCGACGACCACGCCCGCAACCTCGACAACGACCACGCCCGCAGCCTCGACAACGACCACGAACGATACGCCCGACGAGACACCGATACTTTGACGCCGACGTTCTGCCACCGCACCGACTTACTATGCCGACCATGCCCCACCACGCGCCGTACCGTCACTGGACACGCCCGTGCTTCCGTCTGAACCACCGACGCCCGGAAAAATCAGGCCGGCACGCCTGGACGCCGCGCGTCGCCAAATTATCATCCCACCGCGCCCTCCACAAGCAGAGGAATTAATAACGGCCATTCGCCATCGACTGAACATCCGAACATACCGACCACCGCGACGACACCAAATGCCCAATCTCCGACGACCACGCCCGTCTGAACCACCGACGCCCGGAATAATCAGGCCGGCACGCCTGGACGCCGCGCGTCGCCAAATTATCATCCCACCGCGCCCTCCATAAGCAGAGGAATTAATAACAGCCATTCGCCATCGACTGAACATCCGAACATACCGACCACCGCGACGACACCAAACGCCCAATCTCCGACGACCACGCCCGCAACCTCGACAACGACCACGCCCGCAGCCTCGACAACGACCACGAACGATACGCCCGACGAGACACCGATACTTTGACGCCGACGTTCTGCCACCGCATCGACTTACTATGCCGACCATGCCCCACCACGCGCCGTACCGTCACTGGACACGCCCGTGCTTCCGTCTGAACCACCGACGCCCGGAATAATCAGGCCGGCACGCCTGGACGCCGCGCGTCGCCAAATTATCATCCCACCGCGCCCTCCACAAGCAGAGGAATTAATAACAGCCATTCGCCATCGACTGAACATCCGAACATACCGACCACCGCGACGACACCAAACGCCCAATCTCCGACGACCACGCCCGCAACCACGACAACGACCACGCCCGCAGCCTCGACAACGACCACGAACGATACGCCCGACGAGACACCGATACTTTGACGCCAACGTTCTGCCACCGCACCGACTTACTATGCCGACCATGCCCCACCACGCGCCGTACCGTCACTGGACTGGCCCTCCACCCAATCGTCGTCCTCGTCATGTGTTCCCTCGTCGGGGTCCGGTCTATGACCACTCCCCCGTTGGTTTGTCTGGTGATGTCCTGGTCCTGATTGTCTGTCTAATGTTGTCCTAATCGTTTTTCGTGCCGACTTGTAGCCAATGTGTCAGTCGGTAGAGCATGAGACTCTTAATCTCAGGGTCGTGGGTTCGAGCCCCACGTTGGGCGCCAATGTTGAGTTCGAAACAGGACGACTGACGACACATTATCCAGACATTACAACGGGAACAGGTAGGTTGGGGGAACGACATTTATTATAGACGACGAGACAAGAGACCAAGACGAACGAAACGACTACATTGAAGAGTGAGAAAGAGATCAAGTCTGAACGGCAAGATAAAGGGCCTGGGTAGTTATGGCAAATATGGGCGCGCAAGTAGCTACCCAGGCCAACGGAACAAAAGGAGACAAAAGGTGAGTACGCAAGTGCATGCAGGCCAGCTAGAAAAGGTACGGGAGGAGGTACCTAACAGAAGTATGGAATTGGCTGGATTCCCAGGCGGGAATTTCGCAGTCGCAGACCGGAACCGACGCCTCACAGACGGAGAATGTGTCTGCAGATCCCTCGAGCCCTGATATGTTCGTTGTGTCGGACGGGAGTGTTCAAGACGAAAATGCCCATCTGGACAGAGCCCCAGACAGGACGTGGGTGCGCCAGGCGCATTTATACGTCCGTACTCTAGCCGACAATGATTTGTCCCTGCTGATGGGAGCCATCGCGGACAGGCTGCGAAATGGATGGAGTCCCCTCTAAATGACTACGAACTAATTCGATGCAACACTTCTTTCTACATGCCTTTCTTCAATTTAGTTTCATAGTTCTTACAATAGACTTCCTCCCCATAAACTTAGGCCTCGTTTACACGACAACGATTGAAAAACGTTTTTGTCAAAAACGTTTTCAAAAGAATACGCTTCCACAGATTTTGATAAGAGCGTTTACACGACAACGCTGAAAAACGTTTCAAAAACGTTTCAAACGAAAAACGGCCTCAAAGTGTTTTTCAATCGTTTTCGTTCCGTTTCGTTCTCGTGTAAACGGCAAAAACGTTTTACTAGTACGAGCCTTGTACTAAAAGCATGCCGCCGCCAGCCTGCGCCAGGCCAACTTTTTGCACGTGACCATTGCGCGCCGAAAAAAGTGTTGCAGTGTACACGATTATCGTTTTCGTGTAAACAGCAAAAACGTTTCGAAAACGATTGAAAAACGTTTTTCAATCGTTGTCGTGTAAATGAGGCCTTAATCATGTTGTATTATTTGTAGCCCACTTGTTTTTTCAGTTTTTCCAGTAAGGGGCCGTCCAAGGTAACCAATAATATTTTCAAAACGAAATGTTTTCGTTTGTGGGTGGGTGGGTTTGATGGAGTTTCGTTTTGAAAATAATCATTGAATGCTGATGGAGAATGCCCAGTTACTTCTGGGTGTCGAAAATTGACATCAATATTTTATTGGAATTCGTTTTACCTGCAGAAAAGGTGGGTGGGTGGGTGGGGGCTGAAAAATACTAAAACTTTTCGTTTTGTAAAAACAATCGGTAACCCCGGACGGCCCCTAATGAATTCATATATTTCAATAATTTGTGAAAATACTGGAGCCTGGTATGCTCACATAACTTCAGAAGACTGTGTTGTTGCTGTCGGAAAGTCGCGATCTGGGGGAACTAGAAGTGGTACCAGAGAAAGCAGGATAAAGCGTATACTGCGTGAAGCCCAAGAGAAGCTACCTTCCTGTGGTAATTTTGCCATTCATTATCGGTGGCCTGGCAGGGGAACAAGTCAGGATGCTTTAACATTTGCACTATTTGGGGTCTATGCAAGGGCGTCGGAACCGCACCGGCCCACTTTTTCGGCCGGTTTTTATATATTTTTTTAAGCACACTGCAACGAAGCGCGATGATCTCAGCGCAAACGTGGCAAATCCTTGTCCCCGATCGTGGTTTGTTGCAGAATCAAAATCCCATGTACACTGAAATGGCACCAAATGCCTGGGAATGCTTGCAATTGGCTTCAATTTTTGAATTTTTTCCCGAGGGAAGGTAATGTTTGTCCCCGATCGTAGCATCTTCTTGTTTTTTTGCAGAATCAAAAAGTCTTTCATTGTAGTTACCGTACACTGAAATGGCACCAAATGCCCGGAAATGCTTGCAATTGGCTTCAATTTTTGAAATGTTTTCGGCGGGGACCCCGGACCCCCCTTCCATGGCCGCCCACCTCCAAAGTCGGTGCAACGCGCCTGCTATGTAAGTAAGGGCCTTAACTGCTCAGTAAAAGCAACACCTACAATTGTCAGATTCATGTTAAAAGGTGCAGATCTGAGGAGGACTTGCAGTCCTCCAGTCCTCCGTCAAGAACTGCACTAAATGCAGAACAAAGAACCTTCTTAGCGGAGCACTTAACCACACACTTAAACTCCATAACAATTGACAGTAGAGTGGAACCAACGGATCGTTCAATATTACAAGTAATCTTGGTAGTGCTCTCATGGAAAAAACAATACAAGAAATGGGGCATATTCCAGAATCGTATGAATGCATGGTAGACCCAAATTGAGTAGAATATGAGAAGAACTGCAATTGCATGAGGTAACACTAGGAGTTGTTTTTGGTACTTGGTCCGCCCAGTTAAAATTGGCGCTTATCTTCACACTTGTCTCAGGAAAGAAATACGAATATTTGAAGCAAGCCACGATCACAAAGCACTATTTACATGATTATTTACATGTCAGTAAGCAACTCAGTCGAAAATTCAAGCAAGTTACACATCCTCCTCGCCACTATCGTCGCTGGAGGAAGAGCTCAAAATGCACGATCCGGACAGCTGCTGCACGGGTCGTTTCATAGCTTGTTCCACTTCTCCTCGTCTCGAATCACGCTCAAAGGCAGTGCGTGCCTGTCACCTTCCCATCAGAAGCTGAGTGAGACTGCCCGCATGTTGACTGTAAGTGTTATCCCCGTTCGTCGCAATAATGCGTCTTTGTTTGAGACAAAAAGGCAATGCCATATCAGTGTCCTTTTTTCAAATAGCCTCTTGCGCTTGTCGTACTTGCTGATCAGCACCCGTACCCACGCGAGCCGCTGGCGCTTGATCTACATGCAGCGCAGTGATAGCTTCCGCTTGATGTAGCACCTGTGGCCTGTGCGTACTGCACCTACAACGCCGTGCACCAGGCTTTTCGGCTAGTTTCCTGAACGTCCTTTGCACGAGTGTTTCTCTCAAGACTTGGTGTTTTCTTTGATTAGCTCCTTTGGCCTGTCCTCTGTGAGCTTCAAAGTGTGTCCGCCGGATTGGTCTCACTTTCTGGAGATATCAACATGAGCTGCAGTTTCTTCGTCAGCGATTTGCTGGTGATAGCCCTTCACTAGGCGCTGTACTGTGCAAGCAATGAAATTCAAGCTCGCGAAGCGCTTTTTCAGCTTTTCTATACCTCCCCGGGGTAAACAATCCTTGCCATCAGACAGCTGG